AAACCATAACAGGTTCCGAGTCAATCACATGCATTATATCGTGAATCGCGAAATGTAAATGACATTTGTATTTGCCCAAGGTCTGTTTATTGACGTTATGTAGGATTATTTGACTCCAGCCTGAATTATAAGCAATTTTAGCCATGGTGTTGTTAGTTGTTAGTTTATTTAGACCCGGTAAAGTGGTGAAATTAGCTTTAATTAAAAATACATGATTAGAAGTAAGAAAAATTATTACATTGTAAATATAAATAACAAAACTTACTTGATATTTTGTCCCCATTGCCAACGTATTCAACCGAGTAGAATATTCTGTTGTCTTTACTCATATCAATCCGTTTTATTACTTGATTTTGGTTTAACTCAAAAACATAACTGCAATGCAATTGAAAATTGCGAGTACTTGGAGGCCATGAAAGCTCAGTCTTGACTAAAGTGACACTTATGGCCAAAATGTGGCCAAAATTGTTGGCTATTTGTAAATATAAATACAACTTTACAAATAATGTATTCATGTTTATAACAGATATTATTATTAATAAATGTGTTTCTTATGTCTGAAAGTAACTAAAAATGTTTGAAATACTTTTGAATGCAAATATGTTTTACAAATATTTTTCTAGAAAACAAAATATAAGTTTAATTAATTATACAATAAATTAAAATATTTATTTATTATACTGTACGTATGATATTGATTATTGACATGGGATCTTTAACATTAATTTTATTTTGTTTGTTTAAATTAAATTAATTTATTTGTAATAATATTTCGATATTATATTAATCATTAATAATTAATGTATTCCATAATCTTATGACTCATTTATTCATTTAAATGCAAAGGTGACTGAATGAGTAAGATGGTATAATTAAATATTAATAAAACACTATTGTAAATAAACAAGTCTCGATGGAGTATATGATTAAAAGCCCAGTAATTTGGGAACTTTATAATCAATAAATCACAGTTTGTGTGTGGGTTCGCGTCCCGATGAAGGGGTTCAGACGGACAACAACTCCTGACTGACAAGTGAGGGTGTATTGGGTTTAGTTTTCAACTATCAATAATAAAATCTAACCATGGTTGTTTAATTTGAGTGTAATCACTATTAGGTTAGATATACATGACATTTCAAATACCGAGATTTGTTTTTCAAATAATATTTTATGAATAGCGTTCGGTTTATCACATTTTGTTATTTAAAATAATAGATTAGTTTAATAATAGTACTGTAGATAAAATAATAGCTAAAAAGTCTACCAGAATTTCAAAACTATTATCCGTAAAGATATGTATTGTTAAAATGCGACATAAAAGATGTCGCTTCAACTTTCAATTTATTGCATTAAAAATACTAAATTTTAACTAAATCAACTAGGTGGCATATGCACTATTACTTATCTAATTAATAAAATAATGTATTATCTTTAATAATTAATTGCTTTAATTTATTGCGTTAACAAGTTCATTTAAAGTGCATAATAATTTATTGCGTTAATATTTCTTTAATTGCTTTGAACTCTTATAAACAAATCAAATATGAAATTATAATTAAGTAAATTTAATAAGATTCAGATAGCTAATTAATTAGATGACTAATTTGCAGTTATTTAGTTTTGTTAACATTGTATTTATTTATTGGTAGTTTTATGTCAATTGACCATTACAAAATTTTTTATAATCAAAATATTTTATAACATTTTGATAACATTTTATTAGTTTTGAAAAATTATAATAAATTTTAAAGCAGTTATAATAACAATTAAATTTTAAAGCAGTTATAATAACAATTAAATTTTTAATAAAATAATAAAGTTTTATCAAAGGTTATTTTATAATTTAATAAAAACATAAAGATCACTTTTATGAGAGATTATAGAGTATTGTGAATGAAATAATAGCCGGCAATAAATGAGATGCTATTAAATTAGTGCTAAAATTATTATTGTATTTAAATGATTGTATGTTTGACTGAATTTTGAGTGAAAGTTTGTTATATTTATTATACCATTGAATTTCGCAAACATACTCTCCATTACTTTCTTGTGTAGCATTTATGATGGTCAGATTTAATGAACCTGGTCTATTTAACCATGTTAGTCTATTTATACCGGTCATTTTTCTGCTGCGATCTGTAATATAGATGCAAATATTTATAATTATTCGCAATTATTATTTACTATTAAAACTTACGCCTATTTTCATTACTATAACTGAAAAATTTATAACCATTTTTGTAAAACTGCAAACTTTTAAACGTGTCATTTGGTAATAGATTGTAATCGCATAATAGGCTTATATTTGCGTGTTTTATAAATGATTGGTTTGTCTCGTTTGCGTTCAATAATACTTTTTCTGTAAAAAAAAGTGATACACTTATAATTATTATAAATATATTTTTATTGTTAATTTTAATACCAAATTTATAGCTAACTTTGAGGACATCCGATGCCATATATGCCACTGTTTTGTTGGTTTTGTATTCAATATTGCATTTGTATATACCATTAGTTGTCTCGTTTGCATCACTAATTGTCGTCCAAATGAGACCCTTGTATTTAGAAGGGGTTAAGAGTGAGAATCCATTGGCCAGGCTATCAATTCCGGGCACTCGTATAAATTTTTCATCTATAATGTTTAGTATTGTATTAAATTCTATGTAATAACTATGATGGTAAATATTGCTTAATTCTTGATAATTTTAAATTCATGGTTAGATATAACTGTGTGCCACACCCTCTGATCTAGTTATTTAACAAACTTATGGTGTGTTTATTATCTGATGTTAAGTCTATGGGACCCAAAAATGTTTGATAAGATCTAGTTTTTTGTAGTATCAAAATTATTATTAACTATAAGTGCTATTAATATTAAGTAAATAATGTTATAATATTCATTAAATTTATATAAATAATATTATATATTACAACTAATTATTACTGTATATGTATTTCAGTATCTTATCAAAAATATTGAAGTCTATAATAAATGACTTTTACAACTAAATAAAATTTGAGAGCTTTTTATTATAATTAATGCAAACAATTATGAATTGAACCCAATTTTTGTATTGCAAACAAATAAAAATAGTTTTCAAGCATTTAAAGCACAACTTAGTTATCATTGATAACTTATCAAATATAATGACATTTAAACAAATAATTTCTAATGTAGTACATATTTAATCATACAAAACTACTTAATTTACCTTTTACGTATATTCCCTTTGAATTGTGGTAGCTATGCACTGAATAGTAAGTGTGATTATCTTTGGTAATGTTAGCCCATTGAATACTTTGACCATGGTCGAGTGTATAGTTGCAGTCTATCCTAAACGACCTTGCTCCTACAAGTGGCACATCTGCCTTCTTGAGTGACACTTTAACCGCATTTAATCCGATAAACAAAGCAATTAATACAAGAATTTTGTAAATAACTACCATTTTCTCCGCTAATTAATAGTTATAATCAATAATTGAATTATAGATATATTTGTTGTATTAATTCTATTGATAAGTGATATATTGCACATCGAATAGGGATTGATTTATAATAAGACCTAGATTAATGATTTAATTTATTTAGTAATTTAGTGCCCATTTAGTACCAGGTACATTAGATACATTTATTATTTAGGATTATAGATTAGATATACTGTAATATTTTGTGGAATTGTATGCAGATGTGAATGTCGTGAAAGAGTTATCATCTTATGTTTTCTGAATTATATTTTTAATGTATATTAAATATAATAAACACTTATATTATAGAAATGATATTTAATAAACATTTTTATGTCGGAATGATTTAGCATAGGATTA